ACAAGGCTCCTAAAATATTTTTACAATAGCAGTTGAAAAATAAAAGAAATGCATAGTCACATTCTTTTTTTACAAGTAATATTGTTTATTGTAATATTATATTTTTAGCTAATAAAAAAAATTGTCTTATTGGTGTAAGGAAAAAATGTCCAATTATTGGGTAAAATAAATTTTATTAAGATTAATATACATAATATAATTTTTAAGGGGGCTTTGAGAAATTTTTGGGTTGGCTAAGCCCCTCCCCCTTATTTGGGCCACTGTTTAACTGTAATACTTGTATTTATACATGGATATTTCAAACAATGTGAAATAACTCATTGATATCATCAAGTTGGCTGTTGTTAACAACGGAGGAGGTATTTGTGCATTTTCCTTTGTTTACTAAGTATAATAAATACATAAAAAAAATTAATTCAAAGGGATCTAACCTAACCTAACCTTGAGGGCACTTTGTATAAATGTGCTAATTGATATTTTTCTTTGCAAAATACATAGAGGAATTATATAAATGTTTTTATTGCTGATTTATATGTATATGGCAATAAAAAAAAGATTTAAGAAGACGCCACACCTGCATGTGTTGTCTTCATTGTACAAGCGCGTAGTATAACAAATTTCACACTTAGGTATATCACGTTTATCTCCGTTAGTTTAAAATTTAGAGTGAATTGACTTATTATAAAAATTAAATCAAAGATTATTATCTAGGGCATCTCATGGGCTTTTTATTATATTTAAATTTTGAAAAGACTTATGAATATTTTAAAATTGTAAATTGTTTGTAAATCTAAAAATACCCACAACTCACTTTAAAATTAAAATATAATAAAAAGCCCACGATAGATAGCTTTTTCTTTTAAAAATATATTTTATTTATAGATGAGTTGGACAATTTTTATTTTTATTTTTAAATTAATGTATAATTTTAATTACCTTATAATATCAGTAAATTCGGTTATAATACATAGTTGTGGAACAAGGTATAATGTATCAAAATAATTATCATGATTTGTAGTTTTCAACATTGGCTGTTGTTCATCCAAAGAAGATATATTCCATTTCTAAAAATGAAAATAAATACATGTGAGTTAAGCATAAAAATTTTTGAGTACAATAGTTCATAAATAAACTACAGAAATAGGTATAGTAACTATAGTACAGTAGAGTTAATACRGTATTATAAAATAAATATGGACAAGCATAAAATACAACATAAACACAGAACTGAACACATCTCTAAATATATAAATGTTACAAACATTTTCTGAAAAGCACTCTTGAGCATCTAATCAAATTTMAAGACATATGCCTCCAAAAGTGATAAGAGATTTATATTAAAAAACAATTTACAAGACATCAATCAAACTACTATCAATATGTTCTACATAAACAGTCAAATCGATTGCTGTCCTGTTACTGCCCATAAAATAAATAATTAAAAATATTAACCAAAAACATATTATTCAAAGTGACTCGTTAAGATAGAGAGAAAGAAACTTCCTTGGGAGAAACTCATGAGCCACCTTATTGGAATAAGCCTGGATCCAAATCCAGACAGTGAAATAAAAAAAATAGAATTCTTAAAAACATTCAAAACTAAAATATTAATTTTAGTTATGTATAGTTACGCAAATTTAATGTTAAGAGATTTAGTTGTCAAAGCAGACATTTTTATAATTTTGAGACTAAATGAGACCAATGATAAAAAAAAAAAAAAATAATATAATTTACTTGTTCATAGTAGTCCTTATACGATATCCTTAATCCATCTTCATCAATAAATGTTGAGTTAATATTTAAATTTTCATTAACACCATGTATTTTGTACAGTTTATTATTGTATGATGTTAGAACTACAGTACCAATAACACTAGCTTTAAAATTGTTCTGGAAAAATCATCAAGAATACTTATAAATAATAAAACATTCAACATGAAACAATAAGTAAAGTTTATTTATTAGAAAAATAAAAGGATGATAAACCTATTTGCTTATTTGTGTCAAGTCCCAAAATTCTATAATTACCTAGAATTAAAAATTAAATATACAATTCTTGTGACAGTAAAAGTGTTTGTATATTAAAAAATAAGTTCAAACAAAGTAGATACTAGATACTGTAAAACAGAGTGAATACAAATAATGTGATTAAAAACAAAATTAGGAAAGTTATTACTTTTTGTTGTCTCTACAACCGAATATTTGTGTTATCAGCATGAAACTTTTGGTAAGGATATTTAGATATTTCAGTCATAATACACAATAGTATGCAATTTGAATAATTTGATGAACTCTAAATAGTTTGTTTATTTCTACCTACTTATGGATAAACATTGATAATCAACAACTGATAATTATCATAATAAATTATTACAAAAATCAATGTTTCTTGTTATCATGTAAATACTATAAAAATTTTCATTYCCTCGTTAGAATTTGTTTTAAATCTTGTGAGGATTTATAAATCTAATTATAGATATAATTATCTAAATTACATTATCAATTTACAATAATTATTATATTAGTGTTAGGCAATATTATTGGGTTTAATAGATGCATATTATGTGGGGAGTATAATAAATACTCACCATCAAGCTAGGGCTTATATTTCTGTTATTTCCACAGCTTACATGGAAAAAATCTAAAACTGTTTTTGAAGCCGTGCAACTATTTAATAGTTCAACGCATAATGCAAATTGATCATTACATTTTCTGACTCCAAGCAGATACCCAGGCCAATAGCATAATCCAAGTTTTTGATGAGTTATCTAAAATTAAATATATATATATATATATATATATATATATATATATGTAGAAATAAAAGGGGAAAATTGATTCTAAGCAATGATTGTCAAACTTTTTGGTAACCAAATAATTATTTTAATAATAATATCAAAATTTTAACAAATGTTCCAATTTTTTCCTCTGGTTATTTAAAAAAAATACTGGGAATTTTTAATTTTGASCCGAGTTTTGACCTTGTAAAACCAATGTGTCTGTACACACACTTGAAATGAATACAGGAATAGTATCTGTGAAAATTGTTTAATTAATCGACAGAATGCAAACTTAGCAAAGTTACCAAAGTATATTATAATATAAGAGTCAAAAATTATCCTACAGATACTTATTTCCAGTATTAGGTAAATAACTTTTGAAGAGTGATAAAATTTAGTTACTCATTGCATTAAATATTTTTATTTAAATTATATTTTTGCGTAACCCAGCATCATAATTTTTACACGTTTCTTTACTTTTTCGTTAAAAAGTGGGGCATCACAAGATATACTTTAAAAATTAATTACAAAATCAGTCCAAAACAACTTTTATGTACTAGGTATATTGTTGATGAACAAAACGTAGTATTAATTCCTTGGATCTTCAATAATATTATTGATCATTATTTATTATCTAAAACTTTTGGAATCATACATACATTTTATTCTTTTAAACTTTTCTCAAATATCCAAGAACCTTGTTTTTGTCACACATTCTACATCCATAACTTATTTTAATGACATAGAAAATAACAGGTTAGTCCATGAAAATTAATTATGTTACAAATGTGTTAATAAATCAGCGGTCTTCACTAAGCGGCTTGGAAAAATCCAAGACAAACTTTTTAAATTTTTTTTTAATTGATTTTTTGACAATGCAATAATATTTGTAACACTATAATAATATTTGAAGCTTAAAAAATTAAAGAATACATAATAAAATATAAAATGCCAAAAAGCCTAGTTGTTTAATACTTGGCTGAAGTATGTACTTTTTCAATCAATGTGTTTTTGGAAATAAATTGACGAGACATGTTTTAAAGCTCGTTTTAATTATTTATGAAGCCTACACTGGTGATTACTGATTAGTTCACTAAAATTAACAAAATATTAAATGATAGATGATTGATTTGTTCAGCAATAACTAAAATTATCATGTCAGAATGGAAATACAAATAACGAATTAGAGAAAAATAATGGTCATTGTTAGTTAATTATTCAATCGTTTTTCAATATGTTTACCATACCGCCATCGGTGTATATTAGTCCTACTAACTAGTACCCATGATAGTTATTGTTACACTACTACTGCTACAGGAAAATTAATTCTCTCAAGTTTGGGAAAATGTATACGTTTTTATACTTGATTTACAAATTATTACAAATAAAAAAACAGTTGTTAGGATATTTTTTGACTCATAAATAATATACCTATTTTGGTAGTAATGAGATTAAGGACCTAGCGCCATGCCTGTACCGGAAGCATGGTTCACTTCTCTGTTTTTGATTCTAAATTTTTCACTACACTTTCATTTAAAAACAAATGTAATATTTTTCAAACAAATCCAATTAAAGATTCACTTTTAAGTATTCACTTCATTATGTGTACTGACACACCCTCATATTTTATAATATATATATTATTATAATCATATTATTCATATATTGATTCAATATTAGACCAGTAATAATTTAGAAAAATAATACCTAGGTAAACAAAAAGCATATTACAATAAAATATAAACAATATATAATATAGAGTTTATATTATAGACTATAGTAGGTGATAATGAGGGTTTAGCAATGTGGCAAAGTATTCACTTCAAAAAAACACGATTGTAAAATCAATWATACTCAGCTTGAAATTAACATTTAAGTGTTAATCAAAGTTATAACATTMGAAACTATAATATCCTTATACAATTGTAAATTACTATTAGTTACAAATAACTATTTTATATTTCAGTAATTAAACTATAATTATTAAATTATGTGAATATTTACTGTAGCTTCCCGGTCAAAGTAAAATGATTCTGCCTTAACAAATTTTAAGTGTCTAAGACAATTTTCAAAAAATTTTAAAACAATTGGCATTGTTGCAATATCACTTCCTTCTACTTCAGACAAATGGTTTATAGTGATCATTACCAACGAACCACTAAGACCATATTGTTCATAAATGGTAAATGTCTATAAAAATTGTTAAAACAAAATTAATTTGAGTATAAGATATTAAAAAAAATATTAGAAAAGACTTACTTTTGATTCATATTTTACAAAGCTGTACATAGTATTTCCGTCAAGAACATATTCTCCCAAAAATGATATGTGTTTAATTAACAATTCATTTTTAATATTTCTGTTGACATTCGGTTTAAAATGTATCCCATATTTTTGCAACTTCCAGTTTGGATCACAAAATATTTGAATACAATTTGTTACTAAATCCACAGGATCTCCCAAAAGCCCTACAAAAATAAAATAATAATAAWAATAACACGAAATTGTTGTTTWATTTACTTTTTTTCTGGAAATTTGGTACCAATTTGATTTATAATATTGTATAAAATGTATTGAATATGTCAATATTTATCTATTTGTTTTATTTTATACACATATGAAAACTGGGTCCCACCGAAATGACTAGTGTGGGGGCCCAGGAGTTTAAAAATATAATTACACTTAAACTACAAATATATAATAAAGAATAAGTTATAAGAAGAAATAAGTTTATGATGATCTAAAATGTTTACAATTTGAGTTGCTTATAATAAATCTATATATAATATATATATATGTTACCGGAAATGTTGACAATTTAGGAAATGATGACAGTTCCTAGTAAATGATGACAATTCCTAATAGCGGAAGGAAATGATATAATCCCCTAGGATTGTCATCATTTCCGTACTTTTTTAGGCAATGTTATCACTAGGGCTCGGATRTTTATGAAATTGCATATTTTTTTCTATTTATTCAATTTAATGCTAACCTAGGTACAAATTTAATTCATGTTTTACTGAATCAAATAATACTATTTTTATTTTACATATTTTTGTGTTTTTATTGGCTAAAAATACATATTTTATAATTTTTTTAAATTTATATTAGAGTAGTTTTAAGTGCATAAACATTCGAGCCCTAGATATGACGTAACGGTTCCTTACACGAAAGCATTGGCGATTATGATGTTGCAGGTCATGTTACCATGTAAAGCTATTATAACGATAACTATTAACTAACTCGGAACGGTGAGATGCTAAAAACCATTATACTGCCATTACTGTCAATATTGTCCGCGTTCTATTAAAAAATATCAGGTGGGTAATGACTGATATCGTTAAAATGGTTGATTGGAAAATGTCATGGCTATCACATATTCACATAAGTATCGCATAATATGTTTAACGTATCATTTACATGTTTTATTAAGTGTCCCTACCTGTCCATACAACACGGTCCGCTTAGTGGTGTGTGCATATCTTCTTAGTGCAGTACGTATTATTTCGTTAAAATGGATTTGAATAAAATGCGAATTTAATTTAATAAAGTGATTAAAAAAAAATATATATAATTTATTATTGATCATTGATTATTTATTAGTGTAATAGCAGGGTWATTAATAATTGTGACAGATTAAATTAAAATATCTAAGAAAAATATATATGGCATCTTTGCCTGATATCGTTAGGAAACGATAACACGAATTAGGCAATGATATCATTTCCTTCCGTTATTAGGAATTGTCATCATTTCCTAAATGTCAAAATTTCCGGTAACATATATAAAATGACTTRTCCTAGATGATTCATCATCGCCTAGCCAGAACACAGAAACAATAAGTATAAAATTTGGACAGTAGTTTTGTTTCATGTTGTAGACCTCAACTATAGAAAGGATTTTCTACAGGTGTTAAAAGTATTAAAAATGTAAGTTTTCAGTAAGTTTTCAGTAAGTTCATTTATAATGTGAAACTCCCCAAGCCAGGATTTTTCAAAATACGACCCCAGCCAGGATTAAAAAGGGTTGATAATATAAAGAAAAATTTTGTTCATTTGATCGGTTTCATCTTTGAAACTATTTAAATGATTTCAAAATTTTGTATCATCAGAAAGCTACATAATCCCATGAATCTATAGGCTATATTTTATCTTGATAAGTGGACCTTATTTTTTTTATTGCAAATTTGAAATGTTTTATAGAAATAATAAATATAATAATAATATTAAATAMATTTTTGTATATTTTGTGGTTACTATTGGTTATACAATTTAGTACGGATGAATAAGAAATTAACAATTTATTATTAGGTACCTATTAATTTTAAAAATTGTATCAACTTTACAAAGCTAAAAATGCGATAAAATATACTTTTAGTTGTGTATTTCAAATGACTGTATTAAAAATCTCTTATGGAAATTAAGATAGGGTAAATCCAYGGGAACTTGTCTCGGAAGTTTTGATCATGACTAGCCAGGTATAAACGATGAATTAAATAAACATTTTGAATCATATAGTCCGTATTTTTAACGGGCAACGAACTGCACGGGGATCAGCTAGTACATAGATAAAAACCATTTAGCCAAGAAGACATGGTTATGCTAAAAGTTTAAACAGTAATTATTATTATATTATCCCATAATAAACAACTGCATATTTTTATGATAAATCGTGATTTTATATATTTCACAGATATACATATAGTTATAATTAGGACTAATGGCCTCGCTTGAAAATTAATATACCGAATGAAAGCGGAAATCTAAAATCAGATATAATGATCTTAACTAAAAGTTTAATCATAGGGCAATTCACACTAATATCAAAATTAACAACACACTATTGAAACCTTAGATCTATTTTATTATTTGCATTTTTTGCACTGAGAATATTTTGTCGTCTAATTCTTATATTTTTCGCAGTAGCTGTTTTTCGCGCCCTAATAATATTATTACAATCGTTATAGTGAAGAAATTAAAAAAAAAAAATTTTGTTCTGAAGAATAGACATCACTGCAACACAACTTTTCTTGACCACATCGCAACACAGGGAAGGATATTATGGACGTTTGATCTATAAGTATAATATGTTAGATGCACTATTGCCTATATAACATCAAATGTCTACAATGGACGAACCGTATGAAAATTCACAGCTTTTGACTGATTTTGATGAAATTTTCGTCAATAGATTCAGCTATATCCAAACGGGCGAAGACAGGTTATTTAGCTTACTAGTTACTAGTAATTTTTTGTTTTTGTAGGTAAACGTAAAAGTTTCAAATCTCAACAAAAAATATTTTCAAATTGTAATAAGATAAATAAAATTATTATTTTTGGCATCTCAAAAGTTCCAATTAGTACCAATTTCCAAATGGTGAGCACATTTCACACACACTTTAGACGTGTAATAACGACGACGATTACAGCACACTCAATAACCGTAAGAGAACATGGACGGCCGTTTGGACCGTTGTGGCGGAAAAACTGAAAACGAGACCGGACCGGCGACATCGTAGAAATAAAATAGGTACCAAAACAGCAATGTGACCAAAGCATAAAGAACTAGGAGGCGGGTGCTCACATCACGGCTATTACATATTAAGGAATTAGATGAATGCTCAATGATAAGACTGTGCACAATAATCTAAGGGGCAATTTACAATTTATATAGACAACCAACGATAAACTCTGTGAACTTAACATGAACCTACATAAGATATAATATTATTTTAACAAGTCTATGGACGTGACACGTACCTATACATCTTTGTGCGCACTGGTTGCATAAAATATCGATAAAAACAGTTAAATAAGCTGTGATGATGGTTCAATTAACAGTCCGATAAATGTTTTTATTGGTTCCCAAGAGTGTTGGACTGTCGCACAAACAGTTCTTTAGMATTTTAGTGGTTAAAAGACGATGCACATACGCAAATWCACAGTTCGTGTTAAGCATATTTTACGATTCTTATACTGTTATACTTACTTTAATTATTTACATACGTTACGCACACTGGGGACTTAATGTATTAATGCTTCATGGTATCAACTAATTGTCTACACCATGGTTAAATATTGCGTTTTATATTATGTTTAAGCCATTGTCTTATTCGTTTAAAGAGGGATTCTCTGCGATTCTAAATAAGCATCTAAAAAGAAAGCACGTTAATCAATATGAATGTGCATCTCGTAAAAGGCAGCCAGTTTTAATTAATCAACACAATGACGTTAACGGCCCTATATCACATCAACCAAGCACTTCTCTGACACAAATTTATATTTCGTCTGAAAATATCAATTCTGTAAACCACCTTCACTTATAAAAACATTTGTATAACCTAAACAAACACACATCGAATCATTTATGACTAAATCAGTTTTTGTTTTATAATCTAAAATAATTGATGAGCAACTAGCTATTATGATAGCTGAAGAGTTCCAACTATCTAGGATTGTAGAAGACACAGAATTTAGTAAATTTGTAAATCTTTTAAATCCTGGTTACTTATTACCAAGCAGAAAAACTTTCGAATACTATTATTTCATAGTTCTATACTACAAAGAAAAACTAATTAAATCTTTGAGCAATTCATTATAAATTACTTATACATTACTCATAATTTCATTGCAGTGACATATTGTCATTTTATTCACAAAGAAAATTGTGAGTTGAAATCACACATTTTAGGATAATATTATCATTTTGAAGAAAGGACATGCAGCATTAAAATTTTCAATAAAACTTTTAATAATTGGGATATTTCTGGAAAAGTAAAAGTAGCAGTTAGCGATAATACATATTATAATATAACTTCAGCTATTAGTATGAACAGTAACTTGTCTCATATTCCATGTTTTGCTCATAACTCTTAAATTTAGTTGCACAAAGTGGTTTAAACAATATAAATGATACGCATAAACGAGTTAAGTCTATAGTAGAACATTTTAAAATAATCACACAAGCTACTATAAAATAAAAAAAATATGCAAAYACAAATGAGAAACCCAATAGTAAAATTAAAACAAGATGTAAGTACAAGGTGGAATTTAATTTATGATATGTTAAAAAGAATTTTAGAGACAAAAGAGCCATTATTATGCACTATCGCATTTATATCAAGTATAAATAATTGATCCACCGAGAATTTTGAAATTATGGAACAATTTTACTCAATTTTAGAGCCATTTAAAGACGTTACAATCGAGTTGAGCAGTGAAAGTACAGTTTTGATTTCAAAAATTATGATTTTGAGCCACTCAATATTATTGCATCTCAAAAAAAATAAAGAATTGTATAAATCTGATGCTATTGAATCCAAAATCGATGTAACGCTACAAAAAGCACAAAAAAGATTTGGTAATTAATGGAAAAAAACTCAGTTTTAGTTAAGGCAACACTTTTACACCCTAGGTTTAAAAAAAAGGATTTAGTAAAATACATATTACCAGAAAGCTTACCAGAAAATTGTTTACAGCAAGTATTATTGCAAAAAATAAAAATGTCATGGATAAAAACAATYACAGTAGTTATAACTTATAAGTGAAGACACACATGCCAATTCTAATGACAACACTACTAATAGTACWACTGATAATATATGGGAAACATTTGATATAGAAGTATGTAATTAATAGTGTATAAATTTTACAATAACCAAATTTAACATAAAATATTAATTAATTTTATTGTTACATTGTTTTTTTTATTTATAGATGTCAATACTGACAATTCCAAGTACACCGACGCCCGACGGTAGAAGCTATAAAAGAACTCAACAGATAAACAACAAATAAACCATACTTATCCAGAAAATCAGACCCACTAGTTTGGTGGAAAAAAAATTAAAACAATTTATCCAAATTTATATCATTTAATGCTTCTTAAATTATATTTCTCTGCTATGTCCATACCTCGCGAACAMATTTTTTCCTAAGCAGGTACACAGTGTCATACATAATAGGCTAACAGTAAAAACATCGAAAGTTTAATGTTCTTAAATGGACATTTATAATGTATGTATAAAAAAAATAATTTATAGGTAAAATACATATTGCTATAAACTTAATAAAAGTGAAAAATTATATATTACATTGTTGTTTGATTATAATATAATAATATTATATTTTAATAATATATTATAATATAACTATCAGAACATTAGTGTAGTAACTCAAAAATTGTCGATTTTGAGTTATACATGTTTTTCAATGGTAAATATGTCGTTCTTTAGGATGCACTACTGTATTATCTCGTATCTACATTTTAAAACAACCTAAACTAGAAAAAACGGTAATGCATTTAGAAAAATAATCGGTGGCTATAAATGGAATAGTGTGGTATCTCAAAATAATACACTATTGCTACACAGTATAAACTTAAATATTTAGTGCATTACTGTATTTTTTCGAAATAATACACTACTGCACTGAGAATTGAGATTGTTATCATAATACTATTATTACTTTAATTTATTATCATTGCTATTTAAAAGATATTAATATTTTAATGATCCATAATGACAATGAGATAATATTATCAATAATTAATTAATTATTATGAAATTAAGTTAGAACATTGTTTTACAAGTAATTACCTACCTAGTGAATTATTACTTTTATTTTTACAAAAATGAATTCACGTACTAAACGAATGCTAAAATTAGCAAATAAAAATTATATTGAAGGTTCAGATTTTAACATCAATGCTGATTTAAATCTAATACCTAAGGTAAGTTAACAGTTATAACT